TTGTGTGTTATTCTACTTTCAGTGTTTCGAGCCTAATTTTTGACATTGCAGTGCATTTTGTAATCGCTTTCCTTTGATGGATTTCCAGCAATTTGCATCTTTTGACCACCTAAAGCACCTAATAAATAGGATAAAATTAGATAAAAAGATATATTGCAAAATAAATAGATGTAAATATGACATCAATAAACAAGTTCAAGTTTAAATAAAACATGTGCCATTAAATGTCCCAGACATTCACAGTAAAGTCATATGTAAGTAAGAAGTAGTAGTGTAAGAAAGTAGATTTTTCAAATTGACATGTAATTATTTTAAAACCAAGGGTCACTGAAGGACTTTTCCATTCTATCTGAAAGAATGTAAATATAAGGTAGAATTATTTTATTAATGTAAGTGATTTCAAGGTCAAATTAAGTCACACTTCAAAAGATTAGTGTAGGAGAAATATTATTCAATTAAATCTTTTCTTAGGGTTGCACAGTGGAACAGTTGTTAGCACTGCTGCCTTTAAGCAAGAAGGTTCTGGGTTCGATTCCAGGCCAGTTTGAATGGTTGTTTGTCCTGTTTGTCTCGATGTTGCCCTGCAATAGCCTGGCGACCTGTCCAAGGTGTACCCTGCCTCTTGCCAATTGACGGCTGGAGATAGACATCGGCAAACCCAGAAAATGTGTGGATGAACGATTTTCTCAAAAATATCCAATTATATCGCTGTCTTCCTTTCTCATCTCAGAGTATAAACCTTTATAAGAGAAAAACCTGTATTAAAGACATCTTTAAGAAGATGGTCACAGGAAGCTGAAGAACCTGTGCAAGGTTGTTTTGAGGCTACAGACTAGGAAATACTCTGTCAGCCACATGGAGAGGACATCAATACCAGGACTGAGTGTGAGTGACTGACTATAGACATTTCTTTCCAGGTAAAAATATCCGCACCAGAACAGTGAAACACTTCACCAATAATAAACCCTGGATCGACAGTGATCAGAAGGAACCATAAAACAAGACAAAATAATATTTAGAAAGGGAGACAGAGATTATTGAGTATACAAAAACAACATTAGGTCAGGATAAGAAAAAGTAATGATACGCAGAGGAAAAAATTAGAGCTCCAGTAGAACAATATAAGAGAGTAGTGGTCAGGGATTATAGGCTTTAAGCTGAAGGAGGATCAGACAGATGGAAGTCTGGACAGAGACAACAAACTAAATACATTCGTCAAAATGTTCAGTTCAGGGACAAGCTTAGCATCATTTTCTCCTGCCTACAGTCAAACTGACCAAACTCACCATTTCCTCCCTCGTTTGACCCAAAAATTCCCTCTTTCAACCAAAATATGTTATCTCCCATTTCTGCCATAGACCCTCCTGCATCTATGTATTTATCTTCAACCCATTCAGAAGATGCCCCCCCTCTCCACCTGTCTGTCTCTAGAAGTCAAGTGAAGAGGCAGCTGGAGAGACTGAATCACAGATCCAGATGTTGTCAGCCCCAGAGTCCTAAAGGCCTGGGCAGAGCAGTCAGTGGGATTCTAAACATGCTTCAACCTTAGACTGACCCAGGAGACAGTTTCAATGATGTGGTAGACCTGTTGTCTTGTTCCAGTACCAAATAAAAAAAGAAATTTCTTCATAAAATGAAGAAAATTATGCACAACAGTGAGCATTCTCTTCGGTTTGGAGGCAACATCTTCAAAACAGTCAGTGCATAAACAGTCCGCCTAATATGGATGGAAATTTCTTCTATGTAGCCTACTTATCGAAGGCTCTTGACATGTTTCTGTCACGATTTGGTGTGGATTGAGGACCCAAAAGCAGAGGCAAGTAGGCAATGGTGAATTTAGGTGGGTTTAATGAGGTTCTCAGGTACGGAGGCAGGAATCAAAAATCCAACAAAAATAACAAACAAACCAGAACCAAGGAGACATCGGGGGAAACCAAACTCTAGGAGCCAGGGAGAGACGAGGTAAGCAGAAAGACGTTAGACGAGGATCCATCAAACAGGAACTGAAGAGGGAGGGCTTTTAAAGGGGACAGAGACAAAGAGAGGGCTAACGAGGGAATTGAAAACAGGTGAGGACAGAGCAGAAAACAGAGCTAGGGAAAGAGGACACAAGAGGGCAGCAGAGGACAACAAATGGAAAACCTGGAAGACAGGAACTAACAAGAAAACAACAAAATAATAATTAAACACTAAAACAAGAAGCAAAGTAAAGCTGAATACTCTAAATAAACATAACAAAACCAAGACTGTGACAGTTTCACTTTGAAGAAAACCCCATCATATTTTGAGGGGCTAAAAAAACCCGATTTGGACGACTAAACCATCTTGATCGTGAACTCATCCACTCAGTGGCTCCTTTCAAATTGTGCATCCTCATGAGAAAGCGCTATCTGAATAGTGCTGTCAGTAAGGAAAGCGATAGGGATATGTCAATATCTATTATTTAAAACAAAGCTTGTGATCTGTGAAAGCTTCACTGAATTCATACAAAACAAGTAAATTAAGATTTCTTCAGAATATGTCACTTATGTTTCCATTTTGCAATGCATGTGGGTGAAAAGAGACCCATAGTTTAAAAAATATTCCATGAAGAATTTAACAACTTGCTGTGGCTTAGAAGCAAGTGTGCTAACTTTGAAGCTCTGGAGTTTTAAATAGTGTAGTGTATTGGGAGGATGAAAGTAGAATATACAATTTTTAGGAGAAGCTTTTCTTTTGCAGTGCCATCATTATTTTGTTTCTTTTTCTCATTTTAGGAATGACATCTACACTTGATAGCTACGGTCTAACACCCCAAATCTCATCCATAGTGGTAAATTAATCATTAGCTGAAGTTTGGCTGATGTAATTGAAAGTCAGGTCCTGCTGGTGTAAATGTAATTGTGTAGAAGACAAAACTGAGTTAATCTTCAGTATGCATAGCACAGAATAGAATAGAATGGATTATATTAAGATCAGGTTTTTAGAGCAGCACTTGCATAGAACTTGTGTAACTTTTTCTTGAGTAAATCTGCAATATATATATATATATATATATATATATATATATATATATATATATATATATATATATATATATATATATATATATATATATATATATATATATATATATATAGCATTTCAAATTTGAAGTTAACTTATTTTTGCAGCTGTTTTCATCTATTCCAAGTAATCTATCCTCTTAATTTTGTAGTATTTTTCTTGGCTGGGCTGCTTCCATTACATTTATCTGGTTGCTATTTTTTTGTCCAATCAGATTGCAGCTTTAGTGCATTGCTATGTCAATCAAATCTGCCCAGGGCCTTCAGAATCAGCTACGATTGCTGATATTTCCTTATCAATGTTAGTGAGGAACGTTTTCTCCAATCAGATTTCAGATTTACCCCACAGAACCAGCTAGAGGGCCCGTCTGAATGTCAGCATTTTCTGTCCTCTAATTGGTCAGTTAGAGCAAAGCCTTTACAGCCAAGTTAAGCTGGTGATAATCTGGATTTCAGATTCGCTTTTGGGAAAAGTTTTTCTGGCCTCAATAGCTAATACTAAATGAAGATACTAAGACTTTCTGCACAAAGACAGAAGGATGGAATTTGTTTATAAATAATCTGCATCTCTGGTGAGTGCGATATTTTTAATTTTCATGCTTTATGCTCTATTCTATGTGGCAATTAGATGCATATTGGCTACTGATGATGTAAATGTGGTGGAGTTGTGGTTTTAGAATAGAGGATTGTTGTTGTCTAAACTGGGCTTCTTGCTAATTAATCTCTGTATCCACCCGCACAATAATCTTACTCTCTGTTATATCTGCGCTTGTTACATTTCATATTTGAGAACTTTTGATGTTTTTTTTTTTAACTAAAATAGGAAAAGTGATATTAACCCCTTGACACCCATGATTGCAATTATGCAACAAATCCTTTGTATTAACAAAGACAGCATGTGCATTCCCTCAGCGCCAGTTATTACACATTCACAGAACAGCAACTTTTGGCAACCATATATATATATATATATATATATATATATAAAAAATTAATACAGGCATACATATACAAACTAGGATATCAAGGAGTTAAGAAGAAGTTGAAGGGTGCCCACTGAAGGCCTAGGTACCAGATGCACTGCCCGCCACTGTAACACAGTGACCAACAAAAAAAGCATGCTACATTATCAGATTAAGGTGAAATACAATGCTTGAACACTGATGCTCTCTTTTCTAAAAGGCAGTATATTCTACCATGCTATGATTTTTACTAAAATCTACTACTTAAACTCCGAAATTGCAGATTTTCCCCAAATATATTCCTGAAGTTTAACATGTTTTCATCCCTATTAACTCAATATTGCATCGTTTATGTGATAGATTTATTGGTACACACTTTTTAACTACAACTGTCTTTTCTCCTACAAAATAAGCTCTCATCCAAAAAAAAACAAAAAAACAGGAATATATTCAAGTATTTATAGAGAAGGGATTAAATAAGAGCAGTGAGAATTCAACATATGTTTAAAACATAATTTATGAGGTGTAATCGCATCTCAGGAGAGAGTTGGAGAGAGCTTATGCTGATTATAAATTAGGGAGCATTTCAATGTTTACGGAGATTGTAAACATGCAAACTGCAGTGCCTGTCTCTGAACCTTAACAGTCCGGGGGTATACGACGCAAATCATAAACAGATTAAAAAACATAAACATCACAGCTTATAAATATTTATTCACATACTTTCAGTGCAGACCATCCCAAAGCCTCCAAGAAAGGCTGAAGTTGCTCTTCTTCTTCTTTATCTTTTTTCCCCACTTCATGCTTTCATGGTTGTCAGGTGAGAGGGAGGAAGCTCTGGGTTTGTTATCGTACATGAAAGCTCACAAAAATCTAAAAATATCCCCAAATCACTAGACAGAGCAAAGTCACAAAACAAAAGCGCAGGGACGCAAACAAACCTGTGCAAGCACTTTCACACGCACACACACACTGGCACTCTGTGCTTGCTCACCTTGGCATGGCTGAACTTCCTTGACGACAGCCAATTGGTCATTGACGAGCATCGGAGAGCTGAAGTTTCGCTTGAATGCTCCAGACTAATGGAGGAGAGCAGAAAGCAGAAGGACTATTTTAGCTTCTATTGCTTCCTGTATACAGATTTAGCCAAGAGGAAAATGGACTCAGATGTGCAGTGATTTAGGGACCCTAATGAAGCCATGTGAAAATTACTAGATCAAAAACACAAACACAGCGCTTATTACTTAGGTACAAGCGTGGCTAAGGAAATCTGTTTGTGGGTCCATAAGTCTACGATTTCACACTGAATTAAGCTCAGTAAGCTTTTCAGTTGAAGTCAGAATTCCTTCGTCTTTACTTGCAAATGTAGAAGCTGAGCCTCTCTGTCATAGAGGAGCAAAAACCAAATGTACCTTTAGCTTTATTTGGATCTTTTTCTAAGCAGATGTAATTTAGCTTTCCGTGCCCTTTTCACTCCCCTACATCCTGTCCTGTTTGTGCAAAGCTGTCAAAATCCACTGAGCTGTTTTCAACAATGTGCTCTTTAAATTTCTGAAGTTGCTCTCAGAGGATCTCACCTTTTGCTGCACACTAATGATCTCACCTATGCACCAAGAGAGGTATCACTAATCTGAAATTTTACAATTTTGGAGGAAACGGTTTTAGGCTCCATGATAACTTAAAACTTTTGTGAACCAACTATAAGTTTTCACTTCAATTCAATTCAATTCAGTTTATTTATATAGGGCCAATTCACAACTCATGTCATCTCAAGGCACTTTACAGAACCAGATAACACAGTCAAACTGATTCAAAGAAGGCAGTTATACATTTTCTTAAATTATTTATCTGTTTCTTATTTCTCAAAGGTAAATCAAATTAATCCATGGTTCATTTTCACATCCATAAAAATCTGCATTCAGACTGACACCTAAATTGTGATTATAAATGCAGATTGGATTAAAAAGAATATATATATTTATTTTTAACAACACCATAAAACTCATAGAAATGCACTTGAGGTAAAGTAGTTGAGGTTTCCATGGCAGGATTTAATTTAAACACATTTAAAAGAAAAACAATAATAAATCCTCCTGGTCTATGCTGTGACACAAGGCAGAAAGAATAGACACTAGTCAGGGCGGAATTAAGGAGGTAGCATGGGAATTTTCCTAACTTCCCACACAGCATCTGAAGCGCTTTCATGTAGTTCGTCGGTCTTTTCCCTGGCAGATTCACTTCAGATGAAGATTAGACAGAGAGCTGAAGCTTCAAAGGTTTCATCTTTACTAGTCTGAGCTATGATCAGAAACTCTACAAAACCACCAGCAGTGATGACTAATGTAAATATTATTATATTTCTTCATTTCCTTTTTTTTTAATCGAAGAAGAATCAAATAAATTATTTGTAAGTAAATGGAGAAAATTTATCCAAATCCCATTTTTTAATCCTAAGTGAGGTTCTGGTTAATTTGCTGGTAATTTTTCTTTTATTTTTATTCATAGTCATGTTCAGGGTTTAGTTCTGCCTCAGCTTACAGATGGTCTCAAATTTCCTTTAATCACCCTCTGGTGAATGCTAGAATTTATGGTGGTGATTGTGAGCTGGCCTGGGTTCTGCTGCAGTGAATCACCACTGATCGATGGCACTTCCTGCTCCATTCCTCACAGTTGGTATGAAATTATTTTCCTGGAACGCTGTATCTGATTAATGCCAAACATATCCTCTGCTCTAGATTCCACACAACTCAATTATAGACTCATCTGTCCATAGAACATCATTCCAGGAGTTCTTGTCACTGTCAATGGAAAATATCAGCCTGTCCTTTTTATTTCTTCAAAGGTTTTCCACCCACATACCTCCCATGGAAGTAAGAGATGCTTTACTAGCGTGCACTTTGATTTCTACAGATCCCGCTGTAGGTCCCATGATGAAATTTCAGCGTTTTTACAGAGACTTGTTTTAGCATCTTTCTGTCTTTTCTCAGGGTAAGCATGCTTTAAAGGAAAAACCTAAGAATGTTGGATGTTGTTCAGGTCTTTGAATGTTCTTTACTAGCAGCACCCTCTAAGTATACTGTAGCACCTAGACAGTTGTCGGCAACCCGCGGCTCTTTGGCGCCCCCCTTGCGGCTCCCTGGAGCTTTTTCAATAATGTATGAAAATCAGATCAAACAAGTAGCTCTCTAATGCAGGTATTGAACTTTCTTCCATTTTTTCCCCAAATCCTAAAAATATAAATCACACCAAGGAACGCTGGTGACAGAGGATGTGGGAATTCAGGGTTAGAGAGCTCTGCTCTGGTGGATGTCAGTTCCTGTTTGGTTCCTCATGACTCAATCAACTCCTCCCAACAGAAACACCTCCACCATAGAAAGATTCCTTTATTGTGTTTCTATAATTTCATCAATGCAACAAAACTTAAACCACACCGTGAAGGGCGGTGCGCAGTGAGAGCGTTCACTGCTCCTCCCTCACCTCATGCTGTGACATTTGCTCCAAGATAAACATTTAATCATGAATGCTTATAATATATGCCCACATAGTCCTTTTCTATAGTGGGATAATACACTTAGAGCCCATGTTGCCATATGAGGCTGATATAAGACTTTTACATTTTTGCTGCTCCAGGCAGATTTGGTTTTTTTTGTCCAATATGGCTCTCTGAGCAGTTTGGGTTGCCGACCCCTGACCTAGAGGGTGCTGTTGCTGGCCGTGGGATGTATCATGGTCACTTCCTGTTTTTACTGCTGACCTAAGTTTTTAGGATCCTATCGAACCAATGACCAGCTTTAGTCCATGAAGCAGACACCGTGTGGGCATTTAAGGCTAGGCTTAAAACTTTCCTTTTTGATAAAGCTTAGGGTTGAAAACAGAGTAGTGTTTGCTTAGTCGCTGGGTGAGCAGAGCAGTAGGTGGACGTAGAGCGTTAACAGCCCGATCTGGTGGGGAAGAATTTCTGTATTTGTGCTGCTATATGTTTGGGCTGCTGGATCACATAGGGAGCACTTTTCCTTCTTCTGCTTCATTCTATCTCTATTCTCCTAATGCAATATTTGTCAAGTTTAACTTATAACTTTATGCTCTCTCTGCTTTTTCTCTTTTTAGGAGCTTCATCTGGTCTGTTCCTGTTCGGCTGTGACTCCATCCTGGATTGAAATATCAACTGTGCTGCTATCGACATCTCTGTTTATTGATATTGGAGTTTGGCCTGTTTCCTGTGTAGTCCTGTTTCTTTTATTGTTACTAGTACAACTGGCTTGGAGCCAATCTTCCTGGCTGTTTCTTTCCTGTTGAACTGGTTGACAGTTACCTTTTGTATCTCTGCTTCTTTTCTTATGTTTGCTTCTGTCTCCTTGAACCTCAGTCGGCCTCGGCAAAAGGAAGCTTACGCTAGCCTGCTTGTACTGAAGGTTTTTTCCTGTTAAAAGAGTTTTCCTCTCCACTGTCGCTCTTTGCATGCGTGGATTGAGGGATTGCTCAAGAGTCAACAACAAAATGCTCGCAAAGGTCATCACCGCAGGCTCTTCCAGGAGTAGCATGTCTCGCAAGTCAATGACCGGATGCAATCATCTGGTTTTCCTAAGCGCTCTGATAGTATTGTGTCCCTAAAGTAAATGCCTTATGCTACTCTTATATTTCCACACAGATGGCAACCTCATCAGGTAATTCTAAAAGCTTCTCTTCAAAGAGCTCAAAACCCTTTTTTCCATGATCTTTTCAAACAGATTATCGCTATTATTTAAAGAATAATAATAATATTAAAAGTTAATGTAAAAATGAGTGTTTGAAAAAAGTCATCGGATAAACATTACATTTGCTATAATAGGTTTCTTTATTGCATTTCGTTTGGAGGATTTACTTCATCTGTTAATTCTTCATTGTTTTGTTGTTGTTTTTTATAATTTGAAGGCCTTGGGTCTAATTAGTATTTTCTGCCTTATCTTGACACATCAAGGTCATTAAACAGAGAAAAACAACATGTCCTCCCTTGTTTTCAGGGTAAATTATTTAATTAACCTCACCTCAAACATTTTTACCTTGATCTTCCTTTTTTTTTTGATCAAGCACACATTTTTATCAATTTGAAATCTTTACACGGTATTGTACTAAATATGTGCTTCATGTTTTTGTTTTTCCAGTTTCTTGCACTATAATAACAAAAAATAAAGCAAAAAAGCAGACCATTTTTCCTATAGATAAGACATAATGTCAGTAAAATTCCGATAAGAATTCTGTAGGTTAAATCAATAATTGCAGCACAAAACTTAGTTTATGTACCTTTCCATGACATTGCTGCTGTGAAAGTTCTGATGTGCACCACAGGTGAGCAGCCATCTTGCACGTTTTACACCGCAGAGCTTGTTTGGAATTTCCTACAGAGAGGGAAAGAAGCAACAAATGAAATCCAAGAAACGCAGACGTCGATGCAGACACAAACAAGCTGAAACATTTTTCTAAAGGGAAGCAGCAGGCTACATAAAAAAAGCGTGAAGAGAACAAAGTGGCCTGCAGATCACATAAGCAGATTTCTTTCTTCTCACTTTATCTAGCTCTGTCCTAGTTTTTATCCAGCTGACAGTGTTGCAGGTGGTGATACTAACAGCTTATAATCAACAGCACAAGATTGAAAACCAGCTGAAGATATTTCAGACATAATCGATTTAAAAGTGATTCATCAAGTGTTTTCCTTCAATTTAAAATATTAAAAGGGGGAGAAAAAAATCCACCTCCAGATGTTTTCTTCCTAATTTGTTTTCTAATGAGATAAACAGTGTTTTCATGCATGAAAGGGGCAAAGCCTTTTTTGTTTTTAATCCAAAGAAAGACTGATTTCTAAATTTGCTCTGGATGAGGATAACATCAACAAGGCACTTATAGATAAAGGGAAAAAATTGCAGGGCTTAAAGAAGGCAAAGCTTTTTACTTTAAAGAGGAACATTGATTGTACTTAATCAGCTTAACAAGGACACAGAGGCTAGACTTTATTTGAGGACTGCAGATGAGTGCAGCCAGAGCGAGGTGATGCATTACATAAATAAACTCCACAATGTATGCAAAACAACAGCACAGACGCAAACACAGGGGAGCAGGTAGGAGGTTGTAATCAGTCATACTGACAGGAAACGCATTTAGCAGAAATACTAGTAGCTGTTAGCTCAGAAGAGCAACAAACTTTCCAAAAAAATATCTTCACTTAAATCACACAGAGGGAAACAAGTCACTTTTAATTAAATGTTCATTGAATGCAGCCAAAGCAAATCTAACTGTTTGAGAATTTGTCAAGTTAATTAAAAACAGTACTTTCTTTAACCTTCTGTTTGGTTCATCTGTGCAACATATTAGAGCAGATAACATTTCTAAAGCTTAAGCTGGACTTTTGGTAAGATTATTAATTTTGACTTCAATCATCAACCCTGGTTAGGGAAAATTAATTCTCTTTTGTGGCTATTTTATATCCCAAAACCAAGCTTGTACGTTAGAAAAAGTTACTTTCCCAGCACTTTTGTAATATTTTTACTTTTAATAATGAATTTCACCAGTATCCAACTCGTAGTAGTTGTCTTATCAGGCCTCCTTATTCTCGTACAACTCAAACACAATTTAATCTATTATACAGAGGATCAAGGACATGGAACAGTCTTCCCACATCACTGACAGATCTTTCTAAAGAACAATTTAAACGGAGAGTAAAATTGTTGCTACTAAGTTGTCTGAATTTTCTATATGGATTTGTGGTTTAAACGATATTTTAAATTGTTTTATACAAAGAAATGTTTTTTTGTGCTTTTGTAGATGTTTTGAAATGGTGAAATAAATTTGTTTTTATGAGGACTGCCACTCATTAAGCCCCTTGAGGGTTTTTTGGCAGCTGTCCATCACATTTTCTTTTTTAGTGAAACATTATTCTGTTTTTATCTTTTTGTTGTGAAAATGAAATAAATAGGGATGCACGATATAATCGGCCCCTTATCGGTTTCGGCTTGAGTACTGAATATCGGACATCGGCCACCCCACCGATATTTAACCCGATATTTGATCAGCTTCTGAGTTTCTAAAGTCTAAAAAAAAAAATATAATACTACTTCTTCTTCTTCCTCAAAAACTTCTTTTTTACAGACTTAAAAACTTCTAAAGACGAGGGAAAAAATATTGATACATTAAAATATCACAATATCTTCATATGCTGATATATTGCCATTTAAAAACACCATATCAATCTCTTTTACTAATGTAATATTGCTATATGTCATCGTTATGCTATGAAATCCCCCGAAAATTCACGAAATTTTGCCATATTTTTATATGTTGATATATTGACTCGGTATCGATCTATTTTACTAACAAAATCTCACAAGAATTTGCAAAATATCATGAGAGTTTGTAACAGAACGATGAAATTTTACAAGATTTTGAAAGTAAAATAGATCGATACCGCGTTTTTAAAAATCAATTTGATATCAGCATATGAAAATATATTTGAGTACTGTATATTATTTTTCAAAGTGTCAGAAATGGATAACAAAACTGCTATTTTCAATGACTACTTATTTTTGTCCAGCTTTAACATCAGTATCGATATCGGTTATCGGCTACATGAGTTTTAAAATATCGGCATATCGGATAACGGCCGCAATCCCAATATCGTGCATCCCTAGAAATAAATATAAAATATATATATATATATATATATATATATATATATATATATATATATATATATATATATATATATATATATATATAAAAAACATGCTTCTGATGACATCGCACAAGGTATCAGAAAAGCGGTTTTCCTGAATATTTCCTTCTAAAGCTTACATGTTTCCTTTCTGATTTGCATTTTTGATTAAATTAAGATTCTCCTCCAGCTGTGTTTACCTTTGCTTCATGGGGTAAAAAAAAATTAACATATGAGAATAATGCATGGGTAGAGAATAAAAAATGCCCAAAGGAAAAATGTGTTGCTCATCTGATGTTCCATCTCATCTCCTGAGATCACTTTAAGCCTCTCATATTCACATCATTCTGTGAATTAGTATTTCTAAATTACTTCAACTACCCGGTAAGAGTCCCTTAGGAGCAAGAGATAAGCTAAAGAGACAAGACATGACCAAGACCTAAGGAGGTTGAGTTTAGAGAATCCATTTGAGCAAAACCTGAGAAGTGGGATAAACAGAGGGGATCTCATGATAATACGGCCATGATCTTATTTAGCCTAGTTGATTGGAAGGAAAATTAAAGAGCTTAACATGAGATGAAACTACTTTTTTTCTCTAGCCGTTATTTGAGAGCAAACTAACAGGAAATTGGGATACGTGAGAGAAGGGGGTAGCCTTACAGCATAGGTAGACATGCCAGGATTTGAACCTGCAACAGCCTCAAGGACTGAGGTCACCATACAGAGGTCACATGTTTTAATCCGCATAAACATATAATAGATATAGTGATTCTAACTAAGGATATCAAATCGGGACACATTTGAAATCTGCACAGTATGTCTCGTTTCTCTCTTAGCAGAGGACAGGAAAAGAGAGAAGTGAGACAAATTAGAAAACTTGTACAATCATCATTGTGGGAATTATTTCCCGGGAGGAAAAATTGTAAAGAAGAAGAAAACCACTTCGGTCTCAGTTGGTGCTCATTTACATCTAGGAGGTGTAAGTATGACGTAAAGGACGTCTTGTCTTCAGTTTTGCTTTTCTATGTGTGTCAATAATAAAACACTTGGGACTGCTTTGCAAAACAGAATTAGGTGAGAATGGAGCATAACTGGAAAACTGAATGATATATATGACATTTTTACAGTCATTTGTTTATTGAAGTGTTTTCTAATGTTTGTAGATTTCTTTCTCTTTACCTTCTATGATCATTGACCCAAATATACTGAAACAGAGCAGTTTCCTTACAACATTAAGATGCTTCGTAACAAATGTATTTCTATGTCGTCTGTAAATCGTCATCAAGCCTTATCTGTTTCAAATATTTAGACACAGAATGCAGTAATCTTTTGAGAACAGGTTTAGCACCTTACCCACTATCATTTGCTTGCAGTGCTGGCAGTTAGTGGGCTTCCGAAAGATGTGGTCCTGAAAGCAGTGGTTAATCTGAGCTCGGGGAGGCTTGGCAGGCAGCGATGGGGAAAGGCTGAGAGACGGTGAGTGGGAACAGATGGAAGGGTTGGGGCTAAGAGACGGTGAAATGGAGGGCGAACGCTCTCCAACAAGAGGGGAGCCGGGTGGCAGCGGAGGAGAAGGTGGCGGTGGATCAGTGATGAAGTCTGCAGGCAGGCGAGCATCGCTGTAGGACCTTTGGAAGAAGTTCTCCACGCTCTTGCTGCGCATCATGGTCTTGAAGGACAGCGAGCGTTTCAATCTCTGGAGCTGCACAAATAGACGAAAACAGAAAGGTATACAACGAATAAACAGTAATGAGCAGGAGGTAATAATGCTGAATGCACGCTCAGGACAGCACAAGCAATATCGCAGTATATGTAAACAAAACACCGAGCTCAGACCCGCTCTCAATGGGAAAATAACATTGACTCATGACATTCATTATTGCCTCATGTGGATAAAGTAATAATACTAAAGTTTCAAAATGCCCTAAAGTGAGACAAAAGTGTTCTCTGTGCATTTGGTTCATGGTTAAACAAGATAAGCCTTTTCCTTTTATGCCACCATGTTGTTTTAAATTGAAATCTGCAGTGTGTAAATGTTTTTTCTTCTGTAGTGGTCAGTAGGGGGTTAGCAGGATTAAATGGGATTAAACAGTGTTATCACATGTTAACAGCAGGTTCAGGTGATTGTTAACCTGATGATGTTGGTACAATAACATTTAAAGCATAAAGGTTTGTGCTGAGCAAACAATGTTAAGCCAATATACTACAGCAAAATGGTTTGATTAAAAGTCTTTCATACTTCCTTGGTTATAGGTTTCAGGTAATGTAAAATATTTTGTGGACCTTGTCTGCTTTGTTCACAAGTTTTATGTCAACAACCTGCAATTACACAAAATGCTTTGCTTATTAACCTTGAAACTTACCAAAAAATACTCAAGTTAAAATAGCTGAAATTTTCTGGTGAGATTTCAGAGAAGAAATTGCCTTTTCCTTCTTATTTTCTTTTGAAAAGTCTTTTCTTTTCTTCAGTATTTTGATATAATAGTACTTGATAATGACCACTATCAGAATAGGGGCTCACTTTTTTCATTTAACATGAGTTTAAATCAGTAGTAAAATTTTCTAAAGTCAGTCCAAGAGCAGATTAAATTTGGTCAAGAACTAATTTGAAGCCAAAGTCATTGCCACATTGTTTACAACCTGGTTGTCATAAATGAATTATAAATAAATAAATGGAGATCAAAATGTTAATGTTTTTTTCTTAACAAATGGGCATGAAAACTCTACCTCAATCTGTCACTTTTCAAATTTTTCTAAACATGCTTTGGAATGACAAAAAGATATAAGAACTGTAAAAACTTAAGTTTAATACCACTTCAAACAAATGCAACAAAAAAAACCCCAGAAAACTATGGCCTCTTAGAAGCAATTAAAAAATGGTCTCTAAACCTTTGCACAGTGTGTTTTAATCAGGTATAAGTACATAACTAGCTGATGCCTATTTTTAAAAGGCTCAAAATATGAAAAATGCTACTTGAGCTGCAGCTGCCTGGCAATGATTGATGAATGTACATTTTCAGAAATTAACCAGCAGCTTTGCACACATATGCTAATGACATGATGATGACATGCTGCTCCAGTCAGCAAGGAAACTGTGCTGTTGAAGGGAACTGTCTTGTTGCAGGGGAAGAATGGCTCTGCATAGCCAAACTGCCTGACAGACAGACAGACAGACAGACAATCAGAGTAATGCAGACACTGTGTGCAGATGGTCCGCCTGTTTGCCAGTGCATGCTCGTTTCTGCTCTGTGCCAAACCTAATCACTTTTCGGAGACATGTTGTTTGCAGCCCTGCGTGTCTGGTAATGAGATATGAAGACACTTTGTCTATTTAAGAGTAGTATTCTTCTGTGTGAGGGACACATAGGGGCAAACACAGAGACAAAAGATAGAAGGTGCATTTGTTCCATCCATATGTTTCCGGCATAACTCCATTTGGATAGTATGACCTCATTAGATTACACCAATACATACTCTGTATACATTGAACTGTTCCAGCTCTTTTTGCTTGTGAACGTGTTTTCTGCTTTTTGCACCTTGTTGTGAAAAAGATTTTTAATTGTAAGCATTGTCTTTGCTGATATAATATCCGAGAAAAAAGAAAAAAAACTGAAATGTGACAGATGCCATCATTGAACTGTCGTGTAACTTTGTAGAAAAATGATGTCAGCTGGAAGCAATGTGCAGCTTCTCTTCATCTGGATGCAAAGTATGTGTTGCATTCATATGCAGATATTCCCCCAATGACTGGAGGAATTATATTCTGAATATTTAAACATGATTGTTTCTCCTTTGTTGCGTGTTCCAATAAAAGCATTCAAATAATAGTTAGCAGGATTTACACACAGTCTGAAAAAGTCAGTATGATCAAGATATTGTCCAAAACTGGATAATTATCTACTCATGCGTCCATCTGTCTGTCCTTTATTTGTTTGTCTATCCATCCATCCTTCTTCATCAGTTTTTTTAAGAAAAATAATTTTTTCCTATACTAAATTGTTGTTTTTATTTTTCCTGTACACATCTAATAAGTAGTTTGCATATGAACAGGAAGAGATATTGTTGAAAACTATTGTTACTGATTACCCTGGTTGTCATGCCAACCTCATTATTATGCTAAAAAAAATTAATCACATTTATTTTTATTCATAGAGCTCCGATTCACAACAAAAGTTGTCTTAATGCGCTTTTCCAGACAAATAGATCTGGTTTATATAGAGAAATAAGGAGTCATTAAGAAACACAAGTCTAGATTAAATCAATTTAACCACAACGCCTCCTAACTTCCAGCCATGACTAAATGTTATCAAGTCTTCTATATTTTCTGTAATTTTCATTACTCTTCCTCGACTCTTTCTACAGGTGCTGGTCATAAAATTAGAATATCATGAAAAAGTAGATTGATTTCAGTAATTCCATTTAAAAAGTGAAACTTGTATATTATATTCATACATTACATACAAACTCATATATTTCAGATGTTTATTTTGTTTAATTTTGATGATTACAAATGACAACAAATGAAAATCTCAAATTCATCATATCAGAAAATTAGAATATTACTGAAGACCAATAAAAACAAAGGATTTATAGAAATGTTGGCCAACTGAAAAGTATGAACATGAAAAGTATGAGCATGTACAGCACTCAGTATTTAGTTGGGCCTCCTTTGGCCTGTATTACTGCAGCAATGCGGCGTGGCATGGAGTCGATCAGTCTGTGGCACTGCTCAGGTGTTATGATAGCCCAGGTTGCTCTAATAGTGGCTTTTAGCTCTTCTGAATTGTTGGGTCTGGTGTATTGCATCTTCTTCTTCACAATACCCCATAGATTTTCTATGGGGTTAAGGTCAGGAGAGTTTGCTGGCCAATTAAGAACAGGGATACCATGGTCCTTCAACCAGGTACTGGTAGCTTTGGCACTGTGTGCAGGTGCCAAGTCCTGTTGGAAAATGAAATCTGCATCTCCAAAAAGTTGGTCAGCTGCAGGAAGCATGAAGTGCTCTAAAACTTCCTGGTATGTGGCTGCGTTGACCCTGGACCTCAGAAAACACAATGGACCAACACCAGCAGATGACATGGCACCCCAAACCATCACTGACTGTGGAAACTTTACACTGGACTTCAAGCAACGTGGATGAAGTGCCTCTCTTCTTTTCCTCCAGACTCTGGGACCTTGATTTCCAAAGGAAATGCAAAATTTACTTTCATCAGAGAACATGACTTTGGACCACTCACCAGCAGTCCAGTCCTGTTTCTCTTTAGCCCAGGCAAGACGCTTCTGACGCTGTCTGTGGTTCAAGAGTGGCTTGACACAAGGAATGCGACAGCAGAACACCATGTCTTTCATACGTCTGTGTGTGGTGGTTCTTGAAGCACTCACTCCAGCTGCAGTCCACTCTTTGTGAATCTCCCCCACATTTTTGAAGGGGTTTTGTTTCACAATCCTCTCCAGGGTGCGGTTATCTCTCTTGCTTGTACACTTTTTTCGACCACATCTTTTCCTTCCCTTCGCCTCTCTATTAATGTGCTTGGACACTGAGCTCTGTGAACAGCCAGCCTCTTTAGCGATGACCTTTTGTGTCTTGCCCTCCTTGTGCAAGGTGTCGATGGTCGTCTTTTGGACAACTGTCAAGTCAGCAGTCTTCCCCATGATTGTGTAGCCTATAGAACTAGACTGAAAGACCATTTAAAGGCTTTTGCAGGTGGTTTGAGTTAATTAGCTGATTAGAGTGTGGCACCAGGGGCCATCAATTTTGAACCTTTTCACAATATTCTAATTTTCTGATATGATGAATTTGAGATTTTCATTTGTTGTCATTTGTAATCATCAAAATTAAACAAAATAAACATCTGAAATATATGAGTTTGTATGTAATGTATGAATATAATATACAAGTTTCACTTTTTAAATGGAATTACTGAAATCAATCTACTTTTTCATGATATTCTAATTTTATGACCAGCACCTGTATATCTGATACGCCTAGAGCCAAGCTCCAATCATCGCAGTCGAGTGGCAGCATAACAGCTCCGACTGAAGCACATGTCTGAATTACTGTCAGTGTGCAGTTCCAAAAAAACCTTCCCGTTAGCCTTCATTTAAGCATTATCTGAGAGAATTCTACCACCTATTGAAGGACAGGGTGACCTCACGCTCAATGGAAGGCATTGCTGTCATCTCACATGAATCTTTGTAAGAGGTAAGAAGCGCTCATGGAAGCAAGAGGCTGGTTCAGAGAAGCATTTATCATGGAAACAAAGACATTGTGACAAAGCCCTCTAACTTCATTTCACACAAATCAAGTCAGCTCTTTGAATTTATCCAATAATAGAAATTTTTCAGAAAGGTTCATGGGCATAGTAATCAGAGAGGGTAGTGCTCAGCAAAATATGCTGAGGGGAAAATCATCTTTGTCTAATTTTAGAACAGAAACCGATGCTTCAACTACATGCAGTCTTTATATTTCTCTCTAATAAGTTTATTGTATTTTGTTGTTTTATTGTATTTATTGTGTTTTTCACTTTATTGTATTTATGAGGGGGGCACTACCTTCATCTTTTATATGATCAGTGGTCAAAGTCAAAGAAACAGAAAGCAAAAGTTACACTTTTATCTGTAAATTAATAATTCCCGATTTAATCTTTTTTTTTATGTTAAACACAATAAATCCAGATTCAATAAGACGGCTGGTTTTGCTGT